TCTCCCATGGGATGCAGGGTCCAAGCACTTGGGCCATCCTCTACTGCACTCCCTGGCCACAGCAGAGAGCTGGCCTGGAAGAGGGGCAGCCGGGACAGAATCCAGCGCCCCGCCCAGGACTAGAACCCCGTGTGCCGGTGCCGCAGGCGGAGGATTAGCCTAGTGAGCCATGGCGCCGGCCCAAAGATTTAACAATTTTTAACATTTGCCATATTCACTTTATTGGTACATAATATAAATACATGCATATGTACTATTTTTTTCTTTTTTTTTTAAAGATTTATTTTTTATTTATTTGAAAGACAGAGTTACAGAGAGAGGTAGAGACAGAGAGAGAGGTCTTCCATCCGCTGGTTCACTCCCCAGATGGCCACAACAGCTGGAGCTGAGCTGATTTGAAGCCAGGAGCCAGGAGCTTCTTCTGGGTCTCCCACGTGTGTGCAGGGGCCCAAGGACTTGGGCCATCTTCTGCTTTCCCAGGCCATAGCAGAGAGCTGGGTTGGAAGAGGAGCAGCCAAGTCTAGAACCAGCGCGCATATGGGATGCCAGCGCTTCAGGCCGGGGCTTTAATCCACTGCACCACAGCGCTGGCCCCCTATTTTTTCTTAAAAACAGGAATACTAATATCACAAAATGACTGCTTTATGACAATGAACACAGAGTGATCACAGAAGGGTATATTGCCATACAGATGGATAATTCAGGGAAAACAATTCTTATAGCTATCTGTGTAAATAACGATGCAACATCCATCATGTATAGACAATATGAAAATTTTGACTGGCTTATTTCATTTAGCATAATGATCTCCAATTCCATCTATTTTGTAGCAAATGTCAGGATTTCATTCTATTTTATGGCTGGATAATCCTCCATCGTGTGTGTGTGTTTGTGTGTGTGTGTGCTTGTGAGTGTGTATATGTTTTCTTTACCCAGTCTTCAGTTGAAGGACATCTAGGTTGAGTCCATATTTTGCTATTGTGAATTGGGCTGCAGTAAACATGGGAGTACATCTATCTCTCTCACATGCTGATCTAACTTCCTTGGATATATTCTCAAGGATTCCCACGCAACATAGCTGGGTCATTGATAGAGCTTTTTCAGTTTTGTTCCAGCAATCTCCATACTGTTTTCCATATGGTTATTCAAATTTGCATTCGCACCAACAGTGTATTAGTTTACCCTTTTCTCCACAACTTTACCAGAAATTGTTATTGTTTGATCCTTGGATAATAGTCATTCTAACTGGAATAGATGACACCTCATTGTTATTTTCATTTGCATTTCCTTGATGATAAGTGATCCTGAGGACTTTTTCATGTGTCTCTTGGCCCTTTGTATTTCTTCCTTTGAAAAATGTCTATTCGGGGCCAGCACTGTGGCATAGTGGGTAAAGCTGTCACCTGCAGTGTCAGCATCCCATATGGGCAGTGGTTTGAGCCCTGGCTGCTCCACTTCCAATCCAACTTCCTACTAATGTGCCTGGGAAAGCAGAGGAAGATGGACAAAGTTCTTGAGCCTCTGTGCCCACATGAGAGACCCAGAAGAAGCTCCTGGCTTCTGGATGCAGCCTGGCCCATCCCTAACCATTGTGGGCATTTGGCGAATGAACAGAGGAAGGAATATTCTCTCTCTCTCTCTCTCTCTCTCTCCCTCTTTCTCTCTCTCTCTCCCTACCTCGCTCTGTAACTGCCTTTCCAAGAAGCAAAATAAGTCTCTTAAGAGTGCATACGGAATGCCAATGTTATAGGTGGTGGCTTAACCTGCTGTGCCACAATGCCAGCCTATTTCTTAACTGAATTGTTTGTTTTGTTGTTGTTGAGTTTCTTGAGTTCCTTAAATATTCTGAATATTAACCCTGTATCAGATGCATAGTTTGCAAGTATTTTCTCCCATTCTGTCAATTGTCTCTTTACATTGTTAATTATTTCCTTTGCTGTGTAAAAGCATCTTCCGCTTGATATAATCCTTTTTGTTTTTGTTTTTATTGCCTGTGCTTTTGAGGTATAACCCAAAAAGTATTTGCCTAAGGCCTTGCAGGGTTTCCCCTATGCTTTCTTCTAGTACTTTGATAATTTCTGATCTTAATTTTAGATTCTTGATCCATTTTGAGTTGACTTTTGTGTAAGGTATAAGTAGGGGGTCTGGTTTCAAACTTCTACGTGTGGAAGGAAGAGTATAATTTTGAAAGGTATATCTTAATACCTATGTAGCCTTAAGCTGTGCTCAAGCAAGGATATTATCGGTAAGAGCTCCATAAATGCTAGTTATAATTATTACATTTATAATTATTATTCACACCAACAGGGCTTTTAAATGAGCCAGACTGTCATTATAGGCCAGTCTGAATTAAGAGGCAGTTGTCAAAGGAAGAGAATACAAATGATGATTATCATGCAATAAAATCCATCAGTAAGATAGTTTTCTAAGCTTCCTAGAAGATCTGTTTTGAAGTGTCGTAAATTGTCTTCATTTATTGACTAAAAATATGTTTGGATTATTATAACCACCACTTAGGAGCTAACAAATTAGTAGCACAGAGAGGAAAAATCACTAATTCTTAGCAAAATTTTACTTTTATGAATGATCCAGTAATGAATTTCCCAAGAAAAATATAAGTATATATCTTCAGACAAATCAGCATGAATTATCAGTGTTTCCATCAAAAGACATAGGTTTTGCGCTGGTGCTGTGGCAGAGTGGGTTAAAGCCCCAGCCTGCACTGCCAGCATCCCATATGGCTGCTGGTTCAAGTCCTGGCTGCTCCAGTTCTGATCCAGCTCTCTGCTATGGCCTGGAAGGGCAGCAGAAGATGGCCCAAGTGCTTGGGCCCCTGTACCCACCTGGGGGAACCCCAAGGAAGCTCCTGGCTCCTGGCTTTGGATCAACCCAGCTCTGGCTGTTGCGGCCATCTGGGGAGTGAACCAGTGGATGGAAGACCTCTCTTTCTCTGTCTGGCTCTACCTCTCTATGTAGCTCTGTCTTTCAAATAAATAAAATAGATCTTAAAAATTTTTAAAAATAAAAAAAGATAGGTTTTATTTGATTCTGATAAATTTGCAGTTATATATTTTGTCTCTATTTAGGGATGTTTGAAGAGAATAAGATGAAAAACTTATGAAGCTATATTGTAGAATCTTCTCTAAAATTAAATGAAGTAAACAAAACAGAAGACACACAAAGAAAATTATATTTGAAGAACCTCCTCCTCCCATGACAAATTATCAAAAGCCACAGCTTCTCTTATCTTTCCTTTCCTCCAGTTGGAAGGGAGTGGCCTAGATGTTAGCAGAGGCATTGGTGGGTCAGACACGCATGGGGGAAGAGGAGGAAATAAATGCCTACATTTTTCCTTTGTCAGAAACAAAGACTTCATGATTCTGTCCTGAGTTGGAGAGTAGCTAGACTCTAAGAGCAAATCTATTTCAGCAATAAAGTGGGATGGATTTCATGCAGGATCTTCAATTCAAGTACAGCAAAAAGGACACTGGCCAATCCACCACACAGGAGAGCCCACAGCCCCAGCTGAAGTTACTCCTCTTTGCTCACTTCCCCCATCGCCACAGAGACCAGCAGTTGTCCTCACTTACTGTTCATCCTTTCTTCCATAGTAAAAGTATCTTCACATTTTTATTGGGCATAAGACCACTCATGAAAAAAATATAATATATACTTTCTAAGTTAGCTTTGTAGCTAAGTGTGACCCCATAGGTTTCAAGTTCTGGACAAAGCTAAAGTGATGGGTACTACATATGGAGTGGGCATTTCATTCTCATTTCTCTCTTCCTGGCTGTGAAGCAAATGTGTTAATTGGAGCTAAATTGACCATGATGGGTCACATGGTGACCACACAGTGAACTTGAGACTCCGTATCAACAGCAATGGCATACTCATGTTGTAAGACAGCAGGTCCGCCTACTTGCGCACACACTGCTACTATTGCAAAAACACTGAATTCATCTTCTGAGAAAGAGAACATCTAGCATTGTTGTTGTTACCATTATTACAGAGCTATAAGGAGAAAGAGACAGGCCATGTCAAACCCAAATCAATCTCCTTTTTCAGAAAGGGATCCAGGAATTTATGGAGTTAGGGTAAAAGGGGTATAACTAGGTGAAACAAAGTGACAGAAGGTGGTAGATGCAGAAGAAAGGGGTGAGGAGAGTCCCTTGGGCATGTAGCTTGACAACTCATGCCTTTACTTCCATTGCATGTTCAAAGGTGGCTGCTGGGGGCCAGTACTATGGCGTAGCAGGTAAAGGTGCTGGCATCCCATATGGGCACCCGTTTAGTCTCAGCTACTCCACTTCCGATCTAGCTCCCTTCTGATGTGCCTGGGAAAGTAGAGGAGGATGGACCAAGTGCTGGACCCCTTCACCCATGTGGGAGACCTGAATGAAGCTCCTGGCTCGTGGTGTTGGCCTGGCCCAGCCCCAGCCACTGTGACCATTTGGGAAGTAAACCGACAGATGGAAGACCTCTCGCTCTCTAGCTCTGCCTTTCAAATAAAGAAAATAAATCTTTTTTTTTTTTAATGAATGCTGAAATGTCATCAGAGGTGTGTCATTTTTAAAAAAATGTTTATTTATTCATTGGAAAGGCAAAGAGAGAGAAAGAGAAAGAGAGAAAGAGAGAGAGAGAGAGAGAGAGAGAGAGAGAGAGAGAGAAATCCTCCATCCACTGGTTCACTACTCAAATGGCTGCAATGGCTGGGTCTGGACCAGACCTAAGCCAGGAGCCAGGAGCTTCTTCCAGGTCTCCGATGTGGGTGCAGGGACCCAAGAACTTGGGCCATCTTCTGCTGCTTTCCCAGTTGTATTAGCAGGGAGTTGGATTGGAAGTGGAACAGCAGGGACTCAAATAGACATCCATATAATGAACCATAGTGTTCATTGTTTAGTCTGAGTTGATCTACACAGGCTCCACTTACAAAGTTGACTGTAGCTAGTTCTGTCCAGTTTTATCAGGGACCTTAAAAGACATCTTGGCAGATTTTTTTTTTTAATATGGAACGCTTCACAAATCTGTGTGTCATCCTTGACAGGGGCCATGCTAATCTCTGTATCATTCCAGTCTTAGTATATGTGCTGCTGAAGTTGTATTTGGCAGATTTTTAGCCAGGACAGTCATTGTGGGACACTGAGTTATGCAATAGGCGGGTGAATGACAATTGTGGGCTTCTTAGTACATTAGACAGTTAAGGGAGCTTGCTGTTAAGCAAAACAAGGGGGGGCCTTTGCTGTCTATGGTTTCAGTCAGCCTTCTAAATGAGAGAGAGGAATAAACTCCTTTGTGATTTAAGCTACCATTACATTGAATTTTCTTTCTAACCATTGAGTCTGAGTCTAATCCTAAAAAATCATTTTTCCCTTCAACTTGTCCCCAGGCAATAAGAGAAAAGAGAGAACACAAAAGACTCAGCCCCAAACTGAATGTCTCAGAGGAAGACTCATTAGTCTCAGAGATATATGAAAATGATGAGAGATTCACCCCCACTGTGTCTGCGAAGCTAGGATCTGGATTCAGATCCACACGTTAGTACAGTAGAAAGGAGGTTTGCATGTAAATGAAAAATACTGTGACAGGAAAAAAAGATTAACAATATATCTGGAAAGAAATACACCTTTAAAACTTGAAGGAAAATTCCTACAACAAATGCTTTGTATTGTAGGAAAAAATTCAAAGTCTATGAATTCGATGAAACAAGAAATCAAAGGTGAGCTAAAGCAACAGAAGGCTGTGATTGCAATGTGTGATGGTTAATTTTGGGTCTCCAAGGGTTCCCAGAGTGTTAGGCATTGTAGCACAGCAGGTTAAGCCACAGCTTGGGACACCCACAATCTCATATGGGAGTGCCTTGTTACTCTGTACTTCTAATTCAACTTCCTGCTAATGGATACCCTGGGAGGCAGCAGATGATAGCCCAAGTACTTGGATCCCAGCTACCCACATGGGAGACCTCAATGGAGTACCTGGCTCATGGCTTCAGCCTGGTCCAGCCACATTTGGGCAGACATGATTCTAGTTGTGTTGGTGAGGATGCTTTAGACTAACATTTCCATCTATATACTAAGCAAAGCAGATTGCGTTCCCCAGTGTGGATGGCCTCATCCAATCAACTGAAGAGTCGAATAGTGCATGAGTAAACAGGAACTCCTGCCTAACTGCTTTGAGCTGAGAACTTGGTGTTTTCTGGCCTTTGCACTCAATCTGCGACATTGGCTTTCCTTGGGTGTTCATGCTGCCAGTTTTTGCCCTAGAATATACACTGTGGCTCTCCTGGTTCTCAGGCCTTTAGACTCAGACTAGAGCCACACATTGTTTCTCCTGGGGCTCCAACTCAACCTTGGGACTTCTCAGCCCCTGCAATCTTCACATGAGGTAATTCCTAATAATAAACTTGTCTCTATCCCCACCACCTCACACACATCTGTTGATTCTATGTCTCTTAAAATCACCAAAACATATAGTATTAAGGGAAAAAATGGACACCAAAATGCACTATTAAGAAAACTAATTAGAAACAACAGACATGGCTAAAAACTAAATTAGTACCATGAATAAAAGGCCTCTGATAACAACAGAGAGTGCAAAGGACAAAACCAAAAATATTTAAATTTAAATAGAAATTAAGTGTAGAATGGACAGTAATAATCTGCCATCAGTGCATTCAAGCTTTGAGAATACAGTAAATGGAAAAGAAATGATATTCAAAGATGTAATACAAGAAAAGAAATTGAAACAATTATACAAATGCATCTGTACATTATGTTCAAGGACAAATTGTTTAAGAATGATCAACACTAAACTAACTCCTAGTTGTTACTAAATTTTTAAAAAAATGAATTCTTTAAGCTTCTAGATTTAAAATGAAGGTTACTTTTAATAGAGGACAATGGAACTGGTGTTGATCTTTTCCACATCAGCAGAAGCCTATAAAATACTAAGGATGGAAAGGATTTGATTAAGAACAATAAATCAAATCAAGTTGAATTTCAAGGCAACAGACAACCATTTTCTACACATAAGAACTCAAGGAAGGGACCAACATTATGGTGCAGTGTATTAAGCTGCAGTCTGCAATGCCAGCATCCATATAATCACAGATTTGAATACTGGCTGCTCCACTTCTGATCCAGTTCCTTGCCAATGCACCTCGAAAAGCAACAGAAAATGACACAAGTGACCGGGTCCTGGCTACTCACATGGGAGACCTGGATAGATTCCAGGGTCCTGGATTTGGCCTGGTCCAGCCCATGCCATTGTAGTCATTTGGGGAGTGAATCAGCAGATGGAAGATCATTCTTTCTCTCTGTAACTCTGCCTTTTGAATATTTATTTATTCGAAAGACAGAGTTAGAGAGAGAGAAAGGCAGGTCTTCCATCCGCTGGTTCACTCTTCAAATGGCTGCAACAACTGGAGCTGGGCTAATGCAAAGCTAGGAGCCAGGAGCTTCCTTCGGGTCTCCCACACAGGTGCAGGGGTCCAAGGACTTGGGCCATCTTCTACTGCTTTCCTAGGCCATAGTAGAGAGCTGAATCAGAAGTGGAGCAGTCTGGACTCAAACTGGCACACATATGGGATGCTGGCACTTCAGGCAGCAGCTTTACCGGCTATGCCACAGTGCTGGCGTCTGCTCTACTTCTGATCCAGCTCCCTACTATTGTGCCTGGGAAAACATCAGAAAATGATCCAACTACTTAGGCTCCTGCCACCCACATGGGAGATTCAGATGGAATTCTAGGTTCTCGCCTTCAGCCTGGTCTATCCCTGATCATTGCAGCTGTTTGGAGGATGAACCAGTGGGTAGAGGGTCTTTGTCTGTCTCTCCTTCTCTCTCTCTCTATAATACTGCCTTTTTTTTTTTTTTTTACAGGCAGAGGATTAGCCTATTGAGCCGTGGCACCAGCCTAATACTGCCTTTCTTTTTCTTTCTTTATTTTTCTTTTCTTTTCTTTTTTTTACAGGCAGAGTGGACAATGAGAGAGAGAGAGACAGAGAGAAAGGTCTTCCTTTGCCGTTGGTTCACCCTCCAATGGCCGTTGCAGCTGGCGTGCTGCGGCTGGCGCACCGCGCTGATCCGAAGCCGGGAGCCAGGTACTTCTCCTGGTCTCCCATGGGGTGCAGGGCCCAAGCACTTGGGTCATCCTCCACTGCACTCCCTGGCCACAGCAGAGAGCTGGCCTGGAAGAGGGGCAACCGAGACAGAATCCGGCACCCCGACCGGGACTAGAACCCGGTGTGCCGGCGCCGCTAGGTGGAGGATTAGCCTAGTGAGCCGCGGTGCCGGCCCAATACTGCCTTTCAAATCAACCAACAAACCAATCAATCTTTGAAAAATTATGTTATTCAATTTATTTATTTGAGAGACAGGAAGAGACAAATACACACACACACACACACACACACAGACTCAGGATGGGGAGAGCGATAGAGAAGTAGTGCTGCATCTGGTGGTTCACTCCCCAAATGCTTGCAATAGCTGGTAACAGATCAGAACTGAATCTGGGAGCCAGGAACTCAATCCAGGGCTCCCACATGGGTGGCAAGAACCCAACTAATTGAGCCATCACCACTGCCTCATAGGGTCTGCACCAGCAGGAAACAGGAATAAGGAGCTGGAGCCAGAGATCCAACCTAGGTGAGGAAGTGGGCACGCTAACTGGTATCTTAACTGCTAGACCATATGCCTGTCTGTTCTTCCCCTCTCCTGCGCACCTGTCCTGCGAGGCCCACACTGCCAGTACGGTGGGGCGACAGCGTTCTTCGGCAAGAAGCACCGGAGACAAGTTGTAGTGAACATGTCCGTTTACTAGCAATCAAGCACACCTTTTAAAGGGCAGGCCGAGGGGGCATAGCTAGTTCAGAGCAACATTAATTCTATAGGATAAAGCTGATATTGGAGCCGCTATGCCTCTCTAATCAGCTTGAAGGTCACGTAAACTTCTACGTGATCCTTATGGGTCTTGGCCACACCCAGGAGCCGGGTACCTAATTGGCAATTGCAAGGTTCTTCAACAGGGAGTGGAGGTGGGGGAAACGTGCCTGCCAGCAGTCAGGTCATGCATGGGCTAGGCAGGCAGTCTCCCAGCCAGGATCACCCATACTCTCCCAATTTTAAATGAGAGAGAACTTTGAAAAGAGTTGAGAGAACTGTAAAGATACTAGTGGAAAAACTTTAATTGCTTAAATACATATTTTATTTATTAAAACTTTTAAAATTTATTTTCATTTCATTTGAAAGGTGGAGAGATAAAGAGAGAGAGAGATATCTTCCATCTGCTGGTTCACTCCCCACATGTCCACAACAGCCATGGATGGGCCAGGCTGAAGTCAGGAGTCCAGAGCTCAATCCATGTCTCCCACGTGGGTGACAAGAGACCAAACTACTCGAACCATCACCTGCTGCCCCCTAGGGTGCACATTAGCAGGAAATGGGAATTGGAACTGGAGCCAAGACTCAAACCTAGACACTCTAACAGGGATGCCGAGGTCCCAAGTTATTTAATTAAGTTATTAACCAAGTGGTGTCTTAACCACTATGCTAAATGCCCACCCCAAAATACATATTTTAGATATTTTAGAAGGAGCATTACAAGTAACACAAGAGAAGCTTGCTTCCACCCAGTGTGGAAGGTCTCACCAGCAGCTTAAAGGGACAGAGAAGCATGGTAATGATACCATGAGGATACAACCATCAGATCCAGACACAAGCTGTAGAGTTTGCTGCTCTAAGTATGGTCCCTGGGCAGCAACATCAGCCTCCAACCGGGAGGTTGCCAGTGACATCACATCTCAGACCTGCTCCAGTTCTACTCCTTAAAGCAGAAATGGACTTTTTCACAAGATCCCCAGGGGCTTCGTGAGTACTTTCAAGTTGGAAGAGTACCCAAGACACCAAATTTCTTTAGCAAATAAATTGCAAGGAACAAAATGAGCCAAGAACATATAGATTGAAAAAGATTAAAGACCCACCAGTAAGCTGCAATGTGGGCTTTGAATCCTAATTTTAATAAACTATCTGTAAAAAAGTTTGAGACAATAGTGGAAATTGGAAGATGGAATATTATTATGTAATAATATTGAGTCAATGTCCTTTTT